TATATAATGATGAACACAGGGATGATTTGTCTGCATGCCTACATGACCCCTAGTCACCCCAGTAGCTCTTTGACCCTTACAATTCAACAGAGAAATAAGATGCTACTAGTAGTCATAGAGACGTAACATCTTACCTTAGCTTTCTTCTCTAAGGCACATTTAAAGTAACAGCTAGAAAAAAGAAATCACTTATGCTTTGTATGATGATTCCATCCTGTCATTGCTTACACAGAAAAGCAAAGTCCATGTGAATAAAGATGGTTACTCTGGCCTAATGTATTCCATCCAATCTGAAAATGAAAGGGCATGGATTTTTGAAACATGCATGTTTTCACCATGACTGTTGAAAATTATTTTCTTCCAATCAGGTGACCTGAATTGGAATATTCAGTCTGGATTGCAGTACAGTTCTAGTACCCAAAGATTGCTTGAATCAAACACATCACTTCCATGAAGACATGCAAAATTTTGTGATTAACAGTGTGGTGAGAAAGCTGGATGACTAGAATGAAATACTCCAAAATATTCAGTTACTACCAACATTAAATATCTCTGCTCAGTACAGAAAGGATATGCCTTCCCCAGGATTAAGCAGTGACAGAGAAACTTTTTTTTTTCTTTACATTAATTCAAGCTTAAACATATTCTAATGGTAGATATTAGATGCAGAAATATAACTGACTGTGTTCTGGTAAGAACAGATGTTTTTGCTGTGATTAAAACTGCAGCATAAATTACCTAAAAATAAGCAAGACCCATGTGAATACAAATGATCATTGTTATTTTTTTAGGATCTCTTCTCTTGAATCCATAAATGCAAAGTGAGAAATTATATGATACACATTTTTCTAGCAACATCTATTAATCTTTATCACATCCATTATTACAAAACCTTGAAATCTACTTGATATTGAGCACAACATCAAGGTGAAAAAGTAGGTAAAAGGCAATGAAATATTTATATGGTCAGCTGCAAAAACTCATGGTCACTTCTGTGGTGAAGAACACCACAATGGTTTCACCTGAATACCTGCAAATCCCTGTGTTCCTACAAGATTAAATACTTACCAAAACTCAGTAAAGAAGCAATCAGTTCTCATGCTGATTACTTACTGCAATGTCAGTTTCATGACTTGCATGATGTTGCAAAAAAAAAAAAACGTTGAAACAGATAATTTTAGGAAATGTATCCTTACTTGCCTTGAGTTCTGAAGATCAGATATTGGGTGCTATGGATAAGGCCCACATCATCATTTTACTGGACACCAGTATGTCTTCTGGAGTCATTGTTCCTTGGTTGACCATGATCCCCTCTGTAATGGACCTAATCAACATATCTGGTTTATAAGGACCTATACTTTCTAGGAGCCCAATGAGAGTTCTCTTCCAGTGGAATAGGATACAGCCAATGAACCCCCTTTCGTGTGGAACTCCTTGGTCAAAACATACTTGTGGACAACTATGTTTCTTGTGTAAACACAGAGAGACAATGGTCATTATTGTTGTGGCAAAGCCATTAGGCCCTGCCTCCCTAACTTCATGACCCTCAGTCATTGAAATGGCTTTTTCACTCTTAGGATTCTACAGAAATAAAAAGATGTCATGCTTGTTACTAGTGGTGAGAACAACATAATGAGTCTCCTGAGACTACGTGTCTAAAACATGGTCCCAATAATTGGTTCAGAAGGAAAAATCTCTTACTTTCTTACTTGAACATCTCATGGGGTTTACAGAGCTCAGAATTACATCACTTACCTGGATGTCAGCAAAGTCCTTGTGCAGGATGATGATTACACCTGAAGTGATGTGCTGCATCCAATCTGAAAATAAGAGTATGCATTATGAAATATGCACATTTTTATCAGGATTGATTAATATTATTTTGTTTCTAACAGGTAACTTTGGAATAAAATATTGTACCTGAATTCCTGAAGCCTTCCAGTGCCCAATATATGCTGGAAACAATTATATTGTTCCTCTGAACACCTGCAAAAACTTCATGATCATTACTGTTGTGAGAAACCTGGATGACTAATCTGGAGAAGTGCCAAATTCTCTTTTACTACTAATGTGAATTATCTGAATCCAGTACAGTAGGAACCAGCACTCTCTTAAGATTGTGAGCATTGATAGATTAAGTGGTATTTTTTTCCTTGAATAATTGCATAAAAATGTTAATGAGAAATGCTAGAGAAAGAAATATATTACCATTCCTGGCAGAAGAGATGTTTTTTGTGATGTTATTGGTATGACAGTGTAACTTATCTAGACATGACCAAGATCCATGTGAATGATGGCTGTTACATTTTTCATGATCTCTTCTCTAGAATCTGAAAAAGAAAGTGAGTGGTCAGATGAAGAACACATGGTGTTCCAAGGACACCCACAAATGCTTGGTCACTTCAGTTATCAAGAAACCTACCTGACACTGAACAGAGCTTTAGATGGAAATAGAGTTAAAGACGGGAAACATTTTCATGGACACTTGCAATAATTCATGGTCACTTTTATGATGAAGAATACCATGAAAATTTAACTTGGACACCTGAAAATCCTTATTTTATTACGAGGTTAATCACAGATCCAAACTAAGTAGGAAGCCATCAATTTTCACACTAATTAGTGTTTGTTGTGTTGCTTGTGTGACACATGATTCTGCTGAAAGAAATGTGGAAGCAGCAAATTTTTGGAAAAGCATCATGACTTGCCTTGATTTCTTAAGATCAGATGGTGTGTACGAGGCTAAAGCTCACAACCTTGCTTACCTGTGTAACAGCAAAGTCTCCTGTGGTCATCCTTCTAGGTTCAATATAATCTCCTCCTGAGAGCCAGAAAAACATATCTGGTGTAATAGGACCTATGTTTTCCAATGGCCTTTGAGAATTCTCTTCTAGTGAGAAAGGATACAGCAAATGTACCAGCACTTATTTGGCTGGAACACCATGGTCACAACATAATTGAGACAACCACATCACTTTTGAATACACCCACTGAGAGCCCAAGTTTATTTCAGTTGTCAGGAACATCATGAGGTTTTGCCTGCATATCTGCATGACCTTCGATCACCCAAAAGGCAATCTGTCTCTTAGAATTCAAAAGAGAAGTAGTAAGATACCATGCTTGCTAGTCATAGTGGGAAAGACAAATTGTCTTCCCTGAAATTATGTATATAAGACATCATCACTATACATGTTGGAGATAGAAAAATCACTGACCTTGTGGTTTAGAGATACCATGGTGACTACTGTGGTTCAAATCACACTATCCTTTACATGGATATCAGCAAAGTTAATGTGAATGAAAATGGTTAAGTATGCCATGATGTATTCCCAAGAATCTGAAAATCAAAGGTCAGATTTTTTTTAATAGCATGTTTTCATCAGGATTAGTAAAAATTCTTGTTTCTAGCATGTAACCAAACCAAACCAAACTCCCTGCTGTCAAGTCATTCATAGTAACCCCTCCTTGGGTTTCTGAGGCAGTATCCCTATGGAGGTATATTGGCCAATTTTCCTTCTGGGAAGTGACAAGTGGATTTGAACTGCCAGCCTTCAGGGTAGCAGTCAAGTGCCATAGGCACTACACCACCAGAGCTCCCATCAGGTAACCTGGAACCCAGATTTTCTAACAAAATTTCAATAGACTTCTAGTACTGATAATTTTCTTGGGACCATCACATCGCTTCCATAAATATCTGTAAAAATATTTCACAATCATTACCATGATGAGAAAGCTGGCTGGATAATTCCAAAGTACTTAGTTGCTACCAATGTTACATAATCCTGGTCATTACAGAAGGAATCTGCCCTCTCTTAGAGCTAAGCATTGACATATAAAATGCTACGCTTTACCTGAATTACAGCATAAAACATAACAATAAATGTCAGAGACAGAAATATGACTTATTTTGCCCAGGGATGAATAGAGATGGTTTTTGCTGTGATTAAAATCACAGTATTAACTTACTTAGATATCAGAAAGACCCATGTGAATGAAGATTGTTCCATTTTCATGATTCCTTCTTTTGTGTCTGAAAAAGAAGTTACAAGTTAGATAAAAGACACATATTTTTCCAAGACAACCACAAACCATTCTTGGTTCATCATTTTCTCCTCCTAACAACCTGAAAAACATATCTGGGGTGATAAGACCCATCTTCTGTACTGGCCCCACAGCTGTTGTACTTTCAGGATTCAAAAGAAAAACAATATAAGAGAAGGGTAATGCACCAAATGTGAGTGATCAATATGGTGGCACTGAGGAAGAGAAAGAGATACAGAGGTATATGGGAGGTACAGACAACAAAGATAACCCTTTTGCACATACAGTAGTACTGCATTGTTGGTGAAGGCAAACATGGATATATGGGTAGATATATGGGTGGACAGGCTGAACTAGTAGGTACATCTATGAAGCGGGGAGTGTACTCAATAACATATATAGGGTTGGCAGACAAGAGTCCTATAAGTTTATGTGTATGATCAGAATTCCCAGGTGTATAATACAGCTGACAAGGGGCAATGTTGTAGTCACTGCTTGGTTGCAGCTAGCTACACAGAGGGACCAAGTACTTGAACCTGTGGGCTCAGGAACACAGTCACAGGGGACATCAAGCTCAATTGGCATAACATACTACACAAAACATTGTTCCACCTCCTACTCTGGCAAGTAGCGACTGGGATCTTTAAAATTTGCAAGCTGCTATCTAAATGCAAAGATAGGTCTCTCTTCATCAAGACCAAAGAAGAATGAATAAAACCAAAGATTCATGGAAACAATTAGTCCTAGAGACTGGTACACCATCTGATATGCAGCCTATACAACTATGAGACCAAAAGACCCAGATGGTGCCCAGCTAACACTGTCAACCACCTGGAAGGGGATCTATGTAGGAGATCCTGGAAAGAGAGGGAGAACAACGTGGAACAAAACTCAAAATCATTTGGAAAACAACAAAAAAGGGGGGGAACCAGGTCTGCTGGTCTAATACAGCCTGGTGGAACCACTGAGACTATGGCTCATAGCTGTCCTTCAGGTCTTGAATTGAACCCGCACCTGTGGCTTTCTGCCAAACAAAAGATAGGCATGGGAGATGAACATTTACCAGAGGTAGATACACTCCATCGAGAGAACAATCATGGGAGAAAGAAGGGATGTTTATGCACAGGGAGACAGCTCAGGGGGCAGAGGTGCATGGAGGGTTGGACACTGGGAGAGGTAACTATCAGGAGGAAGTGGGAGTGGAGCTGTTGCATTATGGTAAATTGTGATCAATATCATGAGATAAAGCGTATGTAAACAGCTATATGACAAGTAAATTTCCTCTGTAAATTTTCACCCAAATCACACACAGACACAAACACACATACACACACATATACACACAATGCTAATGATAAATGCTAGGTACAGAAATATGACTTACTATATTTGGGAAGAACAGGCAGTTTCTGCTGTCATTAAAATCACAGCATAACTTACCTACTTATCAGCAAGACCCATGTGAAGGACAACAGTTACTTGTCCATCATCTCTTGAATCCTTAAAAGAAAGGTAGAAGTCAGATGCACAAAACCTGTATTTCAAGCGACACCCCCAAACCCTTAGTCACTTCTCTTATTAGGAAAGCCAACAAACCAACCTGAAATGGAAAAGAACTTGAAGGTGAAAAAATAATCATAGAAAAAGCCCTTGTGTGGTCACCTGCAAACACTCACAGCCACTTCTCTGATGATTTCACCTGGATACCTTCAAATCCCTCTCCTACTATGAGATTAAACACATCAAAACCCAGGAAGCAATCATTCTCATGCCAAATAGTTCTTACAATGTCACTTTCATGATTTGCATCATCCTGCAGAAAGAACGCCGAAACAGGTAATTTTAGGAAAATTACTTGCCTTGGTTTCTGAAGATTGGATGGTGTGTGCTGTGGATAAGGCCCACGTCATCACTTACCTGGATAACAGGAAAGTCTTCTTCGAGTCACCATTCTTAGTTTCCAGAACAACGTATCTGTTTTATAAGGACCTGTTCTTCCTATGGTCTCACCAAAAGTTCTCTTCCAGTGGCAAAGGATACAATAAATGTACCTGCATTCATGGGGAATTGCTTGCACAAAAAGTACTTGCAGAAAACCCCATCACTTCTGCAATCACCTGCAGATAGTCCGAGCTCTATAATGTGTTAATGAACACCGTGTGATAATGGACTGGTCTGCATACTTGGATGACACTGAGACACCCCAATGGCTCTTTCATGCTTTGTTAACAATGGTAAGAATGACATAATGTCTAACCTGAGATTACATGTCTAAGACATGGTCTCAATAAATGGCGAAGACAGAAAAATTTCTTACCTTCCTTCCTGTATGATTACATGGTGTATTTTTTTGTCCATGTGCTGTTAATTTTTTGATGGTCATTCAACTGTAAATTTTGTTTAACTGAGTGGGAGAGAGCAACAGACCCCATAATACTACATACATATCCTGCAACTTCACTTACTGAGCCAGAGCCACAATTTCCTTCTCCACCAACAAGCAAGCAATAAAAAAACACCAAGAATAGCCTGAAAACTTAACTAGGTATTTTTTAAAAATGTGAATAATTATTGTTACTGTCACATGATCTCTTCTTTCTAATCTGAAAAAGAACAGTGACAGGTCAGATTAAAGGCACATGTTTTTCCAGGGACATTCTCTAACTTTTTGTACTTTCCATTAGTAAGAAAGCTAGGAAACCTACCTGAAAGTAACATAACTTCAAGGTGAACAAATAGTTAAAGATATCAAAATCAGTTGTATAGAAACCTGCAAAAACTCATGGTCACTACTGTGGTGAAAAACACCATTGTGGGTCCATCCAAAAATCAGTCACTTACTATCAGGTTAAACACACATCAAAACCAAGCAAGGAAGCAATCAGTTCTCATGCTGATTAGTATAAGCAGTATCACTTGCATGACGTACATGATTCCATAAAAAGAAATCACATAACCACAAACTTGACAAACTGCTTCAATACCTGCCTTCTTTTTTGAAGATGGGATGTTGCGTGCTGTGGATAAGACCCACATCCTCATTCACCTTGATTAACAGCAATGTCTATCTCAGTTACTCTTCTCAGGTTCACTGTGATCTCCTCCAGAGATCCTGGAGAACATTTCTGGTGAAAAAGGGTTTAACTTTTCTATGGGCCTACCCAAGAATTTTCTTCTACTGGGAAAGGATATAACAGATGTGCTTGGATTTGTGTGGAACTTCTTGGTCAAAACATACTTGCAGACAACTTCATCTCTTATGTAAACATCTGTAGAAAGACCCTAGTCATTATTATTGTGATGAAATCATGAGGATGTTCATGCACACCTGCATGACCCTCAGTCACACCAAGGGAATTTCACTCTTAGGATTCCATGAAGAAATTATAAGATCGCATGCTTGTAAGCAGTGGTGGGAAAGGCATAATGTCTAACCTGAGATTTAGTATCTGAGAGATGGTCTCAATAAATGTTGCAGACAGAAAATCTCTTACCTTCTTGTTCAAATATCTCATGAGTTTATAGCTCTTAGATTCACATCATCCCTTACCATCCCTTATCAGCAAATTCCTCATGCATGGCAATGGATATACCTGTAGCAATGCACTGTGTCTAATATGAAAATCAAAGGGTACCCATTTTTGCAATATACATCTTTTCATCAGGCGTGCTGAAAATTCTTTCATTCCTGACAGGTAACTTTGGAACCAAATTTTCTACTGGAATTCTCGTAGCTTTCTGGTGCTCAAAATTTGCTGGAAACAATTTCATTGGTCCTGAACATGTGCAAAAACTCCACATTCATTACAGTGGTAAGAAACGTGGATGATTAAGCTGAAGAATTACAAATTTCTCAGTTACTGCCAAAGTTTAATATTGGTGGTCAGCACAGGAGGAATCAGCACTGTCTTAGGATTATAAGTTTTAACAGTTGAAGTGGTGCTTATTTTCCTTGGATAACTGCAGAAAAACATGCTAATGATAAATGCAAGAGAAAGAAATATGACTTACCATGTTCCTGGTAGAAGCAATGTGTTCTGGGATGAGAGTGGAATCAAAGTGTAACTCTCCTAGATATCACCAAGATCCATGTGAATGATGACCGTCACTTTCATCTCTTCTCTAGAGTCTAAAAAAGAAGTTACAAGGTCAGATGAAAGACACATGGTGTCCTTGGTGAGGAATACTAGGAAACCTACCTGAAAGTGAACAGAACTTCAAAGTGAAAATATAGGTGAAGACAGTGAGAGCATTGCAAGTGGAGACTTGCAAAAATCCCTGCTCACTTCTGTGGTGAAGAACACCATTAACCTGAATACCTACAAATCCCTATCTTACTGTGAGGTCAAACACATATCCAAACTCAGTTAGGAAGCAGTCCATTTTCATGCTGATTAGTGTTTGTAGTGTTGCTTGCATGAAACTTTCATGATTTCACTAAAAGACTGGGGAAACAGCAAACTTTAAGAAAAGCATCACTACTTGCTTTGATTTATGAAAAGCAGATGGTGAGTACTGAGGATAAGGCCCACATCCTTGTTTACATTAAAGTTTCCTGTGGTCACCATTCTATGTTCAACACAATTTCCTCCTAAAAGCCAGAATAATATATATGGTGTAACAGGATCTATCTTTTCAAATGATCCACCTGAGAGTTCTCTTCCAGTGTGAAAGGATACAGCAAATGTACCTGGATTGATGTGGCTAGAATTCCATGGTCACAACACCTGCAGGGAGTCTGTTTATTTTTGTGCTGATGAATGCCATGAGGTCTTGCTTGCACACCTTCATGAACTTCAGTCATTCCAAGTGCTGTTTGACTCTTAAGACTCAAAAAGAAATTATAAGATCTCATGCATGAAGGGCATTGCGGGAAAGACATAATGTTTTACCCTGGCCTTGCATATCAAAGATGTCATCACTATAAGTTTTGGACACAAAATATCACTTACTTTCTTGGATAGAGATGCCAGGGTGTATAGCTTGGTTAGAATCATATCCCTTGCTTACCTGGATATCAGCAAAGTTCATGTGAATGACAATGGTTAAACTTTCAGCAATGAATATTTATGAATCAGAAAATAAAAGAATAACATTTAAAAAAAATAATAATGTTTTCACTAGAATTACTGAAAATTTTTTGTTTCTATCAGGTGACCTGGGACCTGAATTTTCTACCTGACTTCCAGTAGACCTCTAGCACCAAGAATTTTCTGGGAACAATCACATCATTTCCATGAACACCTGCAAAACATTCACAATCATTACTATGGTGAGAAAGCTGTATGATTAACCTGAAGAACACCAGGATACTCAGTTACTGTCAATATAAAATGTCACTGGTTAGTACAAAAGAGATCTGTCTTCTCTTATGGTTAATCATTGACAGTTACAATTTTTTAAATCTATATTATATATAGCATACAACCATTCTAATGATAAATTCTAGAGACAGAAATATGACTTACCATGTCCCAGGAAGAAGAGATGGTTTTTGCTCTGATTAAAATCACAGAATAACTTACCTTGATATCAGCAAGACCCATGGGAATTATGATTGTTATTTTTTCATGATCTCTTCTCTCAAATCCTGAAAAGCAAAATGAGAAATCAGATGAAAGGCCCATGGTTTTCTAAGGATATTCCCAAACACTTGGTCAGTTCTTTCATTATAAAAGACTGGAAACTTACCTGAAACTGAGCAGAACTTCAAGGTGAAAAAACAGTTAAGTAAAGACAATGAAAAATAGTTAAAGGCTGTGAAAGCAATTGTGTAGTCACCTGCAGAAACACACATTCACTTCTTTTTGTGAAAAACACCATGAGGATTTCACCTGTATACCTGCAAACCCCTCAGTTACTACAAGGTTAAACACACATAAAAACTAAGTTAAGAAACAGTCACTTCTCATTCCCATTGGTGTCTGCACTGTCACTCTCATGACTTACATCATCGTGCTAGAAGCATCTTGGAAATAGGTAATTTTAGGAAGAGCATAATTATCTGCCTTGGTTTCTGAAGATCAGATGTTGAGCACTGGGGATAAGGCCCACATCATCACTTACCTGGATTACAATAAATTCTCCTTGACTCACTATTTTTAGGTTCACAATAATCTTCTCTTCACAGAACCTAAATAACCTATCTGGTTTATAAGGACCTATGTTTTCTAGGGGTCAGCAAGAGTTCTCTTCCAATGGGACAGGATATAGCTAACACACCTGCATTCATGTGGAACTCCTTAGTCAAAATGTACTTACAGACAACCATATCTCTTGTGCAAACCCAAAGACAGTCCAAGTTCATTCCTGTGGTCAAGAACATCATGAGGATTTGTCTAAATACTTACATGACCCTCAGTCATTGCAATGGCTCTTTGACCCTTTTGATTCAATAGACAAATAATAAGATGGTAGTAGTATTCATATGGGAGCTCTGGTGGCTTAGTGCCTAAGGCATTTGACTACTAACCAGAAGGCTGGCTGTCCAAACCCACCATGCCTCAGAAGGAAGATTGGGCAATCTACTTCCATAGTGATACTGCCTTGGAAACCCAAGGAGGGGTTTCTATGAGCCGGATCCAACTTGATGGCAGTGAGTATCTGTACACCATAATGTCTTACTTCAGATTACTTCTTTAACACATGCTCAAGGTAACAGCTGGGGAATCAACAATCACTGACATTATTGTAAGGTGATTCCATGGTGTGTACTGTAGTTAGCATCCCATCGCCACTTACCTGGAGATCAGCAAACTCCACATGAATGAAGATGGTTACTCTGGTCTTGAGAAATTCCATCCATCTGAAAATAGAAATAAATTAATTTTTGAAATATGCATGTTTTCACCAAGATTGATGAAATTTTTCTTGTTCTGATCAGTTGACCTCACACTTAAAAATTTTACTTGAATTACAGTAGAGTTCCAATGCCCAAAATTTGATGGAAGCAATCACATCTCTTTCATGAACAACTGCATTACTGTGGTGATAAAACCAGACGACTAGCCTGGAGAATGCCAAAATACTCAGGTACTACCAACATTAACATGCCTGGTCAGTACAGAAGGAATATGTCCTCTATTAGAGTTAAGCACTGATAATTAAACTGGTATTTATTACCTGAATTACAGCATAAAATCATGCAAATGGTAAGTGCAAGACACAGAAACACGACTTAGCATGTTCCTGAAAGAAGAGGTGATTTTTGCTGTGATTAAAACAGCAAGGTAACTTACCTGGAAACCAGGAAACCTGAATTTCCTAATGGAATTCCAGTAGAATTCTCATACCCAAAATTTTCTGGAAAGAATTGAAACCGAGTAAAGTGTTCCCCAAGAATGTGGAACACTATCTATTCTGAGTGGGAATTGAAACTGAGTAAAGTAAAAACTATTTTCCCCACCCTAGTACCCAGACAGGAATAGATAAGTAAATTAAATTACCCCAAACTGTTTTCTGTAAACCCTTACTTTGAAACAAAGTGAAGAATAACTCTACATGAAACAATTCTTCCCACTTTTGATATCTAACTGGATAATATAATAGTTCAGACTCCTATTGTTGGGCCCAGGTTATGAAGGAGTTGTTTGGCATGAGGAATTTGCCAACACAACACAATGCAAATACAAAAGGAAAGTTTATTTGCTAGCTCAAACTAGGGTCCCTGCTTTTGCCAATGTAGTGACCTTAGCAAAAGACCTCCTGCTCTGTTACTGTCACATTTTTATAGAAAAATATGGGGTGGAGTAGCACCAGGGCAAAGGGGTACAGATGATTGGTTGTTGCTAAGGGGTTAGGGCAGAGATCTCAGATTTTGGGGAACGTGTTGGAATCCCCCGGCTCCAAAGTCTACCTAGGGAATTATTATCTAAGGAGGGTGCAGAGCCCTGATATGTGGAAGACTTCAGGAGCCGAGCAAATCTCTGATAGCGCTGAATCCGGAGGACTTCTCTGATGCGTGCTGAGTCCGGAGGAAGTCTCTGATACCTGCTGAGTGCAGAGGGTAGATAAAGGCCCTGAGGAGTGTTTAGAATCCTCAACATTAAAAGACTTATTAGAATCCCTGACACTAAAAGGTTTCTTGTTAAAGATTTCCCTGGAGGCTATTAGGACTCCGACCTCAGCCTCACATTTCCCCCTTTTTTTGTTATGCACATGAGGAATCATTCTCTTGTATTACGGGAGATAAAGGCTGATATTGCTGCCTCAGAACCATAAGTTGTACATTATTAACCTGATCTTTTACAAATGATATAAGCTTATTTATAATGCAGGGACAAAAAGTCAATATAATTATAAAGACTATGAAGGGTCCTAAGAGAGTAGATATCAAAGTAGTTAACCACGGGGAGCTATTAAACCAAGACTCGAACAATCCTTCCTGAGCTTCACATTCCTTTTTCCTTAGGGCAAGTCCTTCTTGTACCTTGGCCATGGATTCCGGGACCACACCCGTATGGTTGGCATAGAAGCAGCATTCTTCTTTTAGAGCTGTGCACAATTCTCCTTTTTGGAGAAGTATAAGATCTAACCCCCGGTGGTTTTGTAACACAACCTCCAATAGCAAGGTTAGGGACTTCTCTAAATTTGAGATAGAGGCTTCTATCCTTTCAAGGTCTTCATCTATAGCTTCCCTCAGGGAATGCATGTCTTGATTCTGTACCATTAAAGAAGCTATTCCTAGACCGGTCCCTGCTAAGCCAACCAGAGTAGCTAGAGTAAGAGCTATAGTGAGTGGTTCCCTTTTTTCTCTATTAGTTCCACTCCAGTGTACATACATCTCTTCTTCTGGGTGGTGAAGAATTCGGGGCAGGACAGTCACCAGTATACAATGATCTGAGGACACATTAAGTACTTTCAAGTTTAAACAGGGTAAAAGTCCAGCTTTCGAGCAAAGCCACCAACCCCCTTCCCTGGGAATAATCCAATTAAAGGAAGGGTTTATTTCAGTATATGAGGTGCAACGCTCTTGGGTGTTGGGGGGCCTCCCCATGCATAAGCCCTTTCCTGTTACACATTGTATAGTAATGCCTACCTTACAGTCTTTCCAAGAGCAATTCTTTGGGTTCAGGTCATGAGTATTGCTGAAAGAGGTGTTAATGCCTATTGCTTCATAAAACGGAGGTTTTGCATCGTAACAGAGCCAACAGGTTTGAGTCAGGTTAGGACTAGTACGGTTAAGTGTTTGTTAGGCTGCTAGCATTAAATTCCAAAGAGGGTCTATATCCTGAGGATTGCCTTGGACCCTCGGAGTTGTATGGAGGGCTCTTACTGTAATATCAGGAGTTACAGTGCTCTGTTCTTTCACTGTTTTTCTTGTAGGGGGTAGGGTTTCTTTTTCTGGGAGGTTTAACACTTCATTTGGACCCACTGACCTGGTATCTAAGGGTTCTATTTCCTGTACAATGGTTATCACCCCAGAGGGATATCCCATATACCAAATTTGGAGACCCCAAGTAAGCCCAGATTTCCACTTAGCTAATTCCTTCTTTCCCTGTTCAGTGAACGAGACTTTTATCCAATCACATTCCTTACATTTTCCTAACGCATAAGTATGTCTGGGCTTGGCAAAGGAGAATGTTACATAGCCCTGGCTTTTTACATGCCACTTCGTTCCCCATCGTTAGAAGTCACACAATTCCAACTTTTGCAGTAATACCAAATGAGCCCCCCACATTGTTGGACATTTCTTTTGTACCCAGGGTATGCAAAAAACCCCATGTTATGGATAAAACCTTCATCCCAAGAACAGCCAGTAAGTGTCACAAGCAAGAAAAATAAATCAGGCCACCATATGTTAAGGGGGGTGGTATGGGTGGTGGAGTTTAAAGTCTCATGGGTTAGTCCATTGCAGATTCACCATGTAAATTTATAGGGTTGGTGAGCCGTGATACATATTGCAAGGTGGTAGAAGCTTAGGGTGAGGGTGAGAAGGACTCTAATCTCTATGGTGCTGTGTTAACTTGATTTTCAGTGGGTTTTCAGGATCGGAGTGCTTTCCAATTCGCTCGTGCAGACTGTTGTTCCATTTGGTTAGCTCTCCTGATATGGGAGTGGTGTATCCAGGTGCTGATTCTGTCAGTTATACAGGTCCGATGTTGAAAACAGCCAGTACTGCCAGGTTCTGCTTCTGTCCTCACAGGGCAGGCCAATCGCTCTGAGAGGCAGTGCCTGGACAGTAGACAATGGAGCCTCAGCCTCCTGGGATCCCCTCTGGCATGGGCGGAGGCCAGAAGCTGAGCCCATAATGATGGGCAGCACACTTGGAGCACTTGCTCCACTCCCTCCAGATACTTGTGGAGCCTGGAGAGGGTGGAAAGGTGGCGGAGGGGCATAGGGAGGAGGAGACACACCGCTTTCTAGATCCATCAGATTGAGGTCAACCTGAGAATCAGGCAAAACCAGTGGAAGAGCTGCTTGGGACCCAGGTCGTCTCAGTTTCTCCTTTCCGCCAGTCCTGAGTGAGGATGTCAATACCTTAACAGAAGGGTTTGGAAGAAAAGGTTTTAGCCATGGGGGTGGATTAGTCACTATATCTTGCCACACTAAAATGTAGGGAAATTGGTCCGGGTGCCCATGGGGGCCTGGCACTTGGACTCAGTTGAATACGGCTGCGATCACCTTTCCATCCAGTGAGCCCTCCGGAGGCCACCCCACCTCAAGAGAGGGCCATTCTGAAGAGCAAAAAGTTATTAGTTTATTTCTCTTAATTATCACAGACAAATTAGATCCTCTGGTTTTAAACTCTGAAAAATGTTCAACCATCAGGGACAGAGGGGTAGTCTCTTTCTGTCCCATTTCAACCTCCTTTAAGAAAACACAGAACGAATAAAAGACAGTGGCCACACAACAAAAGACACCAAAACAGACAGTACAAATATCCAATACCCGGAGACACCAAACCAGACAGCACAAATATCCGACACCCAGAAGAGATCTCATTCCAGCACCACAGATTGGAGGGGCCTCTCCCCTCCCCTGAAGTGGGCTGCTCTTACTGAAAAAAGCACCCACAGCCTGCCTGTGAGTTGAGGAAGGGCTCCTTCCCCCACTCATCTGGTGCGTCCGCCGGTTTCCAGCCTTTCCTGATGGACTAGTGCCCCCACGCAAAGGGTGTATCTAGTCCTGCCGGCTTTTCCTGAAACTTTCCTACTATCGCAGACAGCCTCACTCATTCCGAATTCTCCTTCCCGGCCAACGTACCAAATGTTGGGCCCAGGTTATGAAGGAGTTGTTCGGTGCGAGGAATTTGCCAACACACGACAATGCAAATACAAAAGGAAAGTTTCTTTGCTAGTTCAAGCTAGGGTCCCTGCTTTTGCCAACGTAGTGGCCTTAGCAAAAGACCTCCTGCTCTGTTACTGTCACATTTTTATAGAAAAATATGGGGTGGAGTAGCACCAGGGCATAGGAGTACAGATGATTGGTTGTTGCTAAGGGATTTAGGGCAGAGATCTGAGATGTTGGGGAATGTGTTGGAATCCCCTGGCTCCAAAGTCTACTTAGGGAATTATTATCTAGGAAGGGTGCAGAGCCCTGATATATGGAAGACTTCAGGAGCTGAGCAAATCTCTGATAGGCGCTGAATCCAGAGGACTTCTCTGATGCGTGCTGAGTCCAGAGGAAGTCTCTGAAACCTGCTGAGGCCAGAGGGTAGATAAAGGCCCTGAGGAGTGTTTAGAATCCTCAACATTAAAAGACTTGTTAGAATCCCTGACACTAAAAGGTTTCTGGTTAAAGATTTCCCTGGAGGCTATTAAGACTCCAGCCTCAGCCTCACACTATTTTCTGACCATCTATACCCAGACTTTCCAATACTGTGGTCAGACAGTGTTACAGAAAAATACCAGTTTTTCTCTTTATAGGTTCAAGGTCAAAATGAGCCCAGTTTTTCAGAATGCAGCCAAGAGGTCTCCATTCTGGTATAGAACCTTGGTTACCAAATTCCAGTCACACTTACATCCACTGAAAACTGTTGGCACCAGTGCCACGTACACACATTCTCTTTCTCACACACTGAGAAAATCAAGCAAAGCCAGGCCAGAATTCAAAGTAAAAGACTCCCAAGAAACAAGTAGGCTGCAGAGATATTTTGCTTAAAAGACACCTGGGTCACCACTTAAAGTTTTTATTTCTTACCCACACACAAACTAAACCAAAACCAGACCAGACTAAAAGACACCTGGGTTGCCACATACCCACAATCTCATCCACACACAACAGATAAAGGTCAAAGATCCCCATGAAATACATGAGCTACAGTAAACCCACACTCAAACAAAACCACAACTAAATCTGACCAGAATGATGATGCTTCAGCTATAGAGATGATTTTAATTAAGGTTACCAAATAAGGACCAAAATTTCAATCTCCCTATGAGCTTAAAGGTAGTTTTAAGAGTGCTTCAGCCATGAAGATGTCTTAATTAAGGTTACTAACCAAAATTTCAACCTTCCTATTAGCTAGAAGTGAAACCAGACCAGAACATAAATTTTTAAGAGTGTTTTTGTTGTGGCGGTATCTTAGTTAAGGTTATCAGCCAAAATTTCAACTTCCTGATCAACTAGAAGCCAGACCAGAATTTAATCTATACTCACCAATAGACATCTTCAAACCCAGAATAATTTTCTCTTCTCTCAAAAGTGCCTAGAGGTCAAGGACACTACAGATGGTCACAGACCCAGCACCCCTCATGTACCTTCAGACAAAGCAGTGTTTAAGTGTGCACAATGTCCATCAGTAGTGTGTTTCATTTCCACCCTCCAAGGGTTCTCGTGCTCCAGGCAGAGGGTCATAGACCCTCGGTTCCACCTGGAGTGCCAAATTATTGTAGGACCAAACATGGGTCCCTGCAACGTGCTCAGTCAGGCCAAAACAGTTTACACACCAATATTGAGAGGAGAGAAAATTATTTATTGCAAGTAGCAATGCAAGAAGTAGGGGTAGTTCAGTACCAGATCTGACTCCCTGAGATGCCATCAAAATATAGTTTTTGTAGGTTTCAGGAGAGGGGTTATGTATATTCACAAAAGGTTGAGGAATCTGAGTGGGGTGTGAAAATGAAATGGATGAAAATTGCCTCTGGTGGATGAGTCACGCTAGCTTCCTGTCATCAGCTGATAGGGTCTTAGGCAGAGGGGATAGGGTCTGTGATTAACTTTTGTTCCTTTCTGCCCTATTGCATATGTCTGGGGGCCAGAGTTAATTTACAAGTTGTTTCTAAGACACTTCCTTTCTGCTCTATTGCACATGTCCTCAGGCCAGACTTAACTTACAAGTTGTTTCTAAGATACTTTTAGCAGTCTATCACCTGCAGGAAAGAATGTTTTCCATTCAGTTTTTTAAGGAACTGAATACTCCTATGTCCAGGGTGGGAAAATAGTTGGGAGTAATTTAGTTTACTCATCTATTCCCATCCAGGTACCAGGATGGGGAAATTCTTTTCACTTTACTTGGTCTCAGAATCACATCACTTCCATGAATATATGCAGAAATATTTATCAATCATTATTGTGGTGAGAAAGCTGGCTGGAGATTAAGGCATTTGACAGGTAACCAGAAGTCTGTCAGTTCAAACCCACCAGCCACTTCTTGGAAGGATGGTTGGCAAATCTACTTCTGTAGTGAAACCTTGGTAGCTGCAAACACCCCTCAGGATGCACCTGAGAAAACACCCCTGACACCTTGACAAACAGGATGCACCTGAGAAAAACACCTGTCCTGAGAAAATTAATCAAATACCAACTTCCATCTGTCAGGAAATAATCCTAACCTATGTATCTCAGCCCCTCGGGAGAACAATACACTGCAGCTTCAGCTCCCAGCAGTCTGCCAGCCTGAATAAAACTCTTTTAAAACATGATTATTTTATGTTGTTGTTGTTATGTGCCGTCAAGTCGGACCTGACTCATAGCGACCCCCCCCTTGGGTTTCCGAGGCAGTATCACTATGGAAGTAGATTGCCCCATCTTCCTTCCGAGGAGTGGCTGGTGGGTTTGAACCGCCAGCCTTCTGGGTAGCAGTCAAGTGTCTTAGCCACTGTGCTACCAGAGCTCCCTGATTATTTTATAGTGGCTATTATTTTAAATGGAACCCATAACAGTTGAGGGCTCATCCAGGATAGCCACTGTGTCCTAGTGCCTCTGTTGGGTGGTCACCCCCGGGAGAGGAAGGTCCTCCAGAGAAGGCACCTCCTGAAGAAGTTCCAGGGCCCGGGAACTCCATTCTCCCCACCGTGTGTCCGCACTGGAGATGGAGAATTTGGCTGATTCGGCATATACCTCCAGAGGTAAGATTTGTTGTTCATTACTTGCTGACTTGGTAACTTGGTGACAAGTCCGTTGGTTTGACCAGGGAAGGGGATCAGATGCGATCAGCAATTGCCTGGTTCTTTCTCAATGGGACACCGTCTGAGAAGTTCGGTTGGTTTGTGTAACTCCTATCTTCCTTGTATAGTCTCCAGGTTGTCTTGTGCAGTCACTGTTTTTGTCATTTGTCTCCCTGTTATAAGTATTTTGGTTTTGGGCTGATGGCCACAGCTCCAGATTCCTGGACTATTGTTCAGAAAATTACTCTTGGGTAGGATATTTGATTTGTTGTCTTCTATTTGCTGGATTAAGGTGTTAAAAAACAAAACAAAACAAAAGGAACAAGCAGCGATTGCTGAGACGTTGCTAGACGTTGCTGCCATCTTGTGGACAAAATGGGAAATTCATGCTCTGCAGTTAAGACTCTCCAATGTATTTTAGATCATTTTAAATTGGCATTTCAAGATGATTACAGTATAATATTCAGTCCAGGGCGCCTTTGGACCTTGTGCCAACTGGAATGGCCTACCTTTGGGGTCGGGTGTTCTGAAACCGGCACATATGACCCTTGTGTTACCCAGGCAGTATGGAACTGATTTACAGGGGATTCAGGACAGACAACACGATCAGTTTCCATATATAGATATATTCTTTAATTTGGTTCAGAATCCCCGATTGGCTAAAAAAAATGTGCAAATGGGTCAGGATGGTCAGTTATGTTGTCTGTCCCTAAACCCAAGAAATCAGATGTGAAGAGTCCTGTTATTCCTGTCCCCGAGGAAGTCGTACTGCCACCCCCTTACAGTTGCCCCTCAGCACCACCACCACCAACATCACGTGACCCTCCCTCAAGTAGACCCTCCGCTTGTCAGCCCTTGGACCTCCTTAACCCTTCCCCTCCACGCACCTGCAGCGTGACCCCTTTAGAGAAATCTGTTGCTCTGCCCTTGAGGGAACTCTCACTTACCCAGGAGATCCCCCAGGTCATGCATACCTAGTGTATACTCCCTTTTTAACTAGAGACTTGTATAACTGGCAGCACCAGTATCCTCCTTTCTTAGAGAAGCCACAAGCAC